AATCTCCCCATACAGATAACTATCAGAAAGGATGCAGCAGCATTCACTTAAATGTTCACAAAAGGGAAATTTTATCCAGCTTCTAACAAGTCTTGGGCAAAATTTTAGCCCAAGCAGTAAACATTTTGCAAAGCTTTGCAAAGCTTTGAAACTGGGGAGGGATCTGCTGCTTGAGACAGGCAACGCAGTCAGGGCACCGTTAGCTCTGATGAAAAGAGCTGTGCTCAGCTGCAGCTGTTTTCTTGCTGCAAAGCCCCTTCTCCCAGTCCCAGGTCATAGAGACAAGAGGCAGGAATTTGTATCATGCTATTTGTTCAGTAGCTTTCCAGAGCAGAAAGGTGGTGTATATATATATATTTTTTTTATTACTCTCCCTGTAACTCATATAGCTTGAATAAGTGGAGCATGAGCCTGAGGCATTTGAAAGCAGAGTGTGTTTGGTTTTGAGGCTTTCGTGCTTGTTGCAATCTGTAGTTGAACAGTGAGTTAATAATTAAAGGGAAGGAGGGAAGGAAAACTAGGGAAGCCAGTGGCCATAGCGCTTGGTGCAGCACCTGTGTCTCTGTGCAAATGCCATTCGTCCCTGCGTGTTCCTGCCTGGAGGTCTCCCCTTCTTCCTCCTCTGCTCCAGATCTTTCTCCCTCTGTCACAGGTCTTGCCCCATTCTGGGAGGCGAGGCAATATTTGTGGGAGGCCAAAGGCAGAGAATAACAAAATCAGGTTTCTTGACCAGCAAGCTGCCAAGCTTTTACTTTTGGCCTCCCCTCAGCAACCTCATCGCAGGGTGGCTGAGGCAGCGAGGGGTCCCTGTAGCCCCCTGGCCAGTACCCCTGTGCAGCCCCTTGCTGCCCCAGCATCCCAGCTTGGCCAGCCCCAGTGCTGGGTGAGAAATGCCCTCCACACCCTGGCTGGTTGCTGGATCCCTGCCCAGGCCATGCCTGCAGAAACTGCCCCAACTGTAATTTCTTACCTGCCTATATTTATTTTGTCCCTTTTAGGGATACCTGAGTCTTGTCTATATAAACCTTCAATACTACTGAAGAACAATCTGCTTAATATACTTTCATGACTGTAATTAGTTGCTATATCTATAAGGCTTTCAAAAAATCTAATAACCCCCATACTGTCTCTTTTTATTTCCCCCCCTGACTGGCTTTGCTTGCTATTTGTCTCTGTCCATCTCCTTTCTTCTGAGCAGAGCTTTGAGCCCTGGCTGGGGTGCCTGCTCCTAGGGCTGCCAGAACACTGCACCAGTACACATAAAACCAAGGACAACATGTTTGGCTATTAAAATCCTACCTCAGTTCCATAAATCCTGGAATATTACGTAGACAATACTTTTGTCCAAATACTTTTCTCCCTCTGTTTCTGGAGCATGCTTGTGCCTAGGTGTGAGGCTCCTCCTGAACCACTCACAAGCTTCCCAATGTTGCTGCCTCACTGTTGCAATGCCACAGTCCTGATTTGGATGCAAAACCCTACACAAACAAAAGCTAAACAAGCCAGACAATTGGACTTGCTCCCTAATCCTTCAGGGAGGGATTGGCAACCACAGCCATCTGCCCCACTGTCCTGGCTCTGCCTTGCAGCCTGCCCAGGCTGCCCCACCACAGGCTGCAGACCTCCAAAATCAGATGACAGAGTCAGCAAATGCAGCAGGAGTCTGCAGTTCCTGGCCTTGCTTGGACAAGAGGAGCAAATAATGCAGGTTACGTGCGAGGGTTTTTCCAGCCTTTTAAAAGTTTTGGAACGGAGACAATCGGAGCAAGCGACTGGTCTGCACCACCAGTATGTCAGTCTTGTAGAACAGGTCTCCCAACCTTGGTTTCTGCTTGGAAGTGGCATGGCCTATGTGTTCTCTTCTGTTTTTAATCTTCTGGGATTGGGTTGTTTAGGGTTTTTTTGGAAATGTAAAGGTCACCTTTGAAACCTAATAATCTTAAACCAAGATGTATCATTCTCAATGTAAAAATTTGTAATATACAAATAGTTTTGCCTTGAGCATGCATCTTGGGGAGGCAGTTTTTTTCAGTATCTTTTACTTCACTTTTATTTTTTGTGAGTAAATGTTGGGTTTTAGTAGATCTATTGCCACTTGTATTTTGTAAGTAGAATATTTATTAACAGAGAGAGATTGTCCAATTTGAAAAATCCACTGTAGTATAATCCCTTGGACTAAAAGCTGTTGGAACCATTAAATATTGTATGTATTTTGGGTATTTACTTGTTGTATCCCATAGTTTAAATAAGTTAAAAATAAAAAAAGGAGGCAGTCCTATTTTTATGCAGCTGACAGTGTTCCTGCCACACAAAGCTCAATGAGTGGTGGTTAATAGCTGACACAAAGTTGAACAGTAAGCTTTCTTAACTAATGACTAGTCTGAACTCCACAGCGTACTTTTCAAATATCAGCTATGATTATTGTTTCAGAAATAACTTATCCTGCTGGGCATGGAGGAAGATAATTTCAGAGTACTTCACAAGCCTGTTGAAGTTGGCAACTGATAGGCTTGTCTAATGCTGGGGAGGTGTCCCAAGGCATCAAAGTGCCGTGAGAAGGCAATTTAAATAGCACGAGGGCGAGTTATAATGCAGAGGGGAAAGAAAACTGTATGTGCTTGGTCACTGGTGTGCTGTACCCCAATGTCCGTGTGCAGTGGGGCCAGCAGTGAGCACCCTGGGGCAGTGGTGTGGGCACCTGGCCATGCAGCCCACAGGGTGCACTGGCCACCAGCACAGGGATGGAGCATCCTGCAGCCGTGCCCTGGGACCTGCTTGGGGACACCACCAGGCCCTGGGAGGGGGACAGCCACCTTGGGCATGTCCCTGTGCGATCACTGCTGGGTGTTTCATCCCTAATTGGGAGCTGCCAGCCTTTGGTGCAGTATTACCCTAGTCCTGTATTACCCTAGATAGTGGAGAGATGAAAGAATTTAGCTTGTTCTAAGCAGAGCTCCCTCTTGGTTATTGTGACTTGACATTCATAAATCAAAGCCAATTAACTTTCTCCCCTGATTTCAATGTAGGATCCTCTGCACTGACAATGCTTTTAAACATTTCTGTATAAGCCCATAATGACTTTGTGTGGGTAAGTGCTCATGAGCTCTGAGTCTGCTCTGAAGTAAGGTGAAGGCAAATTAGGTTATATCGTAAGTGATCAGTCATACTATTTGCGTATCCATCTGCCTATAAATATCTTTTTCTGTTATTACTAGCAGCAAATTGAGGCTGCAAACACCAGTCACATCTAAACATGTGGGGAAAGCTGGTGACAAAGTGAATGCAAAGATAGACCTTAGCTTCATGAGCCTAAGTGTAAGATACCTCATTTTCTTTTTGATTACCTCATCTGTGACATCCTAGTGTGTCTCTGCATCTCTGGGGCCGCCCGCTGCTGAGCAAAGGCTGTGCAGCAGTACTGCTGAGAGCAGCTGGAAATGGCTGTCGTCACCTGCCTGCTACTGAGCATGGGTACAGCCAAGGAGGTTTGGGGGTGTGAGGCATGTTTGGTTTCCAGTGTGGTGGTTTTAAATACCTGTCCAAAGTGAGAACGTGACCTGCAGTTGCTGTGCGTGCAGTCCAGCCGTGTTACTCTGCTCACAGGTGAGAGACCTTACACAAAGATCTCCTTCCAGCATTTGCATCTTTTTGCAGAGCAGCACATTTACTGCTCCAGTTCACACTTTGCCGAATCAGGACCTAAAGGAGCACCTAAGGCAGTGAATAATCTGAGGCCTGGACATGCTACATCCAAGGCATCATGCAGAGCGTGCACACCCACTGTTCACTCTGCCAGGACAGGGCAACAGAGAGTTCCCTTTCCCAAGAGATTTATTTGCTTGGCTTCTGAACAGGCAGGCTGCACTGATGCACGCACCAAGTAACTTGGAGAAAGTCACTCACGGTCTTGTGTCACAGTATTAAGAAAGGGATTATACAACCTTGTGAGCCTGCAAGAGTAGCTGAAAGGATGAGGAACTGGGTTAGAAGACCCAGGAAGACACAGCTATAGTTCTAATTCCACCTCCTCAAATCAGGGATGATGCAGGGATGATAAAAACTTTGAAGTGTTTTTCTTCAGGGGTAGGGAAGAAAGTTTATTCTCTTGCAAAAAATGCTACAAAAGTATGCCAAGAGTGAGTCTGGGCTATCTTCTCCCCTCCCTCCTTCCCCTCCCAGAAAGGGCCATCTCCCATGGGACTGGGAGAGCAGCCAGGACCTGCTCAGTGTGGGTGCGGAGGGTAATGTTGAACTTCATTATTGTTTGGAACAGATTTAACTGGGTGAGCTTCCCAGCCCAGCCACAAAGCTTATCAGACCAGAAGCCTTTCCCCAGGGCAGGAAAATTGTACTTTGTGTAGCCCAGTCAGACCAGATACTTGAAAGGTTACTGCTAAGAAAAAGAAATCATGCCTGATGAACCTAAGCATTGTCTTTCACCGGTCACAGCAGTGCCTGTCAAAACATAAAACCTGACAAGTGCTGAAAACTCCTCACTATGTATAAATTGATTATGGGATCGAGCAGATGCAAAGGGAATGTGAATTGCTTGCAATCCCGAGCTGTTAACCCAGAAACACTGACTTGGGCTTGATGCCTGGTCTTGAATCAGTTGACAGGCAATAATAAGCAACAATCTAGCTCCACTGACACCTTTCAGGGCTGATGATTTAATGAATTACAGGGATGTAGTTCAAGGATAAGGACATCTTCCTGAATGGAACAAGATTAAAATGAGCAGCATGGAAACAGCTGTGGAAACAGCTGGCTAAAGAAGCAGGTGTCACTGATATATTTTGGGGTCTCCAAACACTGGTCTTCCAACTGAAAGCTTAGTTGCTGCAAAGCTATGCATAGCACTAGTTTCCAAAAATTAATCCAAGGCAGTGTGTTTTTGGGCTTTTAGAAGCATTAGCCCCCAGCTGTAAGGATGCAGTGATCCGGGTGGTTATCTGTGACTGAGAAAAGATTTCATGCACATGTTGTTTTTCCCATGGCAGAACACCATCACAGAAGAAGAAGTTCAGAGGATGAAGGAACAATTCATGTCTGCCTACAATATCACCACAGATGGACGCTTGCAAATCCAAGAGGTATCTCTCCTCAACCCCAGCCCGGGATTTCTTGTACAGAAAGAGGGAGAATTAGGACCTAGAGCAGACCTGGGAGATATGGGAGATAGAGCCTGGGTGGGGAGGTGAGTCATGGAATACTGCATTAGCCAGATCTCTTGATTTGGGTTTTATTTCCAAGATAACAACATGCCCAGCTGGGTCAGCAGCCACCTAAGTTTTTTCATGTCTTTACTTTCATAGTTTATGTTTGTTTTGGGGCTTTTTTATGCATTCTTTTTTCCAGCTTGCAAATATAATCTTGCCGGATGATGAGAACTTTCTTCTGCTTTTCCGACGGGAAACTCCCTTGGACAACAGCGTGGAATTCATGCGGGTCTGTATCTCCATATTATCTCTTCCCCTTGCACATCAAAAGATTCTTCAATATGTACACTTCCATCTCCTGTAGAACATAGCATGGGAAATATGTGGTTATTGTGGAAGCAAAACATGTTCTGATCTGTTCAGGTAGAGAAGGTTATACTGTTTTATCCTGGCAGAGTGTGGGGTAGAAATCTCCATAAGCTGGGCCAGCTGAGGAGCACAAACCCATAAGGTTTCCTTAACCATGCCCAACCTCCCTCACTCTCTGTCCTTAAGTATCTCAGCACAGAATTTCAATTTTTTCAAGACTGCTTGCAGTTAATTTTGTTTCACACCCTAACTGGGAACTTCTGCAGATCAATGGCCAGTTGTGTATGGCCTTGACTTTTGCTCAGAGTAACGAGAGAAGCTGCATGTACAAATTAGGTAGGAAACGCGGAGCAGTTTCTTAGTCTTTTCTTCCTTTTGTAGAGAGTATGTCTGCATTAAATATGTGATAGCAGCATGTCACATGTACAGCATCCAAATATGAGTAAAAGCTATTGTGTGGAAAGTTTATTTTATTTTGTCTACAGTTAGTTAAATATTGGATAATGCAACAGCTTGTTCATTATGGAAGTCCTGATTTTAATCTTTATGATCTATCACCCGAGCAGATGAATAATTGCACTATTTATGCAGTTGTATCAATCTATGTCCATTCAGATCTGGCGCAGTTACGATGCTGATAGCAGTGGATTTATTTCAGCTGGCGAGCTCAAAGTAAGTTATTCTAACAAGTCTGTGTGGGCTTGACCTACAGCTCACTGGTGTGGACAGGAACCTTTCCACCAGCTTTACCAATTTGCTGCCTTCTTGTGTGGTTGATGAATGGCATTCCTAGGTTGTTCATGGCAAGTTTAAGGACTGGGGATCCTCTAGCCTTCTGGCACAGCTGCAGGGACCCTGTCAGGAAGGACAGAATCATAGAATCATAGAATTGCTTTGGTTGGAAAAGACCTTTAAGAACATTGTGTCCAACCATAAACCTAACACTGCCAAGTCCACCTCTAAACTATGTCCCTAAGCACCATATCTACACATCTTTTTTTTAACACCTCCAGGGATGGTGACCCAGCCGCTTGCCTGGGCAGCCTGTTCCAATGCTTGACAACCCCTTCAGTGAAGAAATTTTTCCTAATATCCAACCTAAACCTCCCCTGACACAACTTGAGGTCATTTTCTCTTGTCCTATCGCTTGTTACCTGGGAGAAGAGACTGACCCCCACCTTGCTACAACCTCTTTTCATGTAGTTGTAGACAGTAATTAAGGTCTCCCCTCCTTTTCTCCAGGCTAAACAACTCCAGTTCCCTCAGCTGTTCCTCAGAGGACTTGTGCTCCAGGCCCTTCACCAGCTTTATTACTATTCTTTGGACACACTCTAGCACCTCAGTGTCCTTGTAGCGAGGGGCCCAAAACTGAACACAGTACTTGAGGTGCGGCCTCACCAGTGCCAAGTATGGGGGGATGATCACCTCCCTTGTCCTGCTGGCCACACTATTTCTAGTGGATGGTGTAGGCCTTCTTGGCCACCTGGGCATGCTGCTGGCTCATATTCAGCCGGTTATTGACCAGTACCCCCAGGTCCTTTTCTGCCTGGCAGCTTTCCAGCCACTCTTCCCCAAGCCTTCATTCTGCTCCCTGTCTCACAGCTCATGGGGCTGAGTACCCAGAGAACAATGGGCCTTACCATTAAAGACCGAGGCAAAGAAGGCATTAAGTACCTCAGCCTTTTCCTTATCCTTTGTCACTGTTTTCCCCCTCATATCTGATAAAGGATGTAGATTCTCCTTAGCCCTCCTTTTGCTGCTCATGTACTTAGGGAAACATTTTTTTATTGTCTTTTATAGCAGTAGCCAGATTAAGTTCTAGTTGGGTTTTGGCCCTTCTGATTTTCTCCCTGCATAACCTCATGACATCCTTGTAGTCCTCCTGAGCTGCCTGCCCCTTCTTCCATGGGCGCTAATTCCTGTGTAACCATTCTCGGGCACTTTTGTGGTTTCTAATACATCAGTAACGCTTGTGAATCTGCTGTCGCGCAGATCTCCATCCCCTACCTCCACTGAGGTGGCAGATCTAAGGACCTCACTAGCACACTGTCCCTCAAACATTGGTGTGCCACATCCAGGATTATCTCTAGCAAGTTTGGTTTCACTCCTTTCCCTCTTCAACTCAGGGAGGATGCGCTGCTGTTGTCCTTGCTGTCCTGCTTCCCCCTTGCCTCGTCACATGAACCCACTTCTCTCGGTGCCCCCTGAGCACCCAAGGACCCCCCAAGCACGCCTCAACTTGACTTGGCGCATGTGCCTCTCCCAGCTAAACAGAGCCAAAGACATTGTGTTTTATTAATGGGATTTCTTTATAACCTCTTCCTGAGCCCAGATTTTCTGAACACTGATTTCTCTTTAAAGTTCAGGCTATTGAGGCAGAAACCTGTCCAGAAACCAGCCAGAGACAGACGTCCATCCCTGGGCAGCAGACCTTGCATGGACCTCTTGGCGTGTGGCTCTAGCCTGCACCCCACCAGAGAAATGAATGGATGCTTAAGTGTTTTGCTGAATGGCAAATATTTTTATTTGAGATTGGTTAGCAAATATTGCAGGACTTATGTTATCTTTTGCTTATTTTGTGGGTTGATGATGACTTATTCCAGTATGCGTACTCTGGGGAAATTTGGTTATTTTCTGATTTATTTGAAAAAAAAAGTTTCAACTAAGAATATGTGAACTTTATGTGAAATTGAAGATGCTAGTACTAATCAGGAATGTGAAATTAGGTTCATATAACCCTGCTGAATTTGGATCAAATTTCTTATGGTTATTTCTTGAGTTTACTCTAAAGAATAAACTTTGTCTCTTTCCTTACTACAGGATTTCCTGCGAGATCTCTTTTTGCAGCATAACAAGACGGTTTCTGAAGTAAAGCTGGAAGAATATACTGATACCATGGTACGAAAAGATAGTGTTAATATTGTTTAGATTATAATACTGCCTAAAAATCTCCTTTAGGGCCAATGTCTATAGGGCCATAAATACCCTCTTAAAAGGTCTGTCTTCTCCAAGAGATCCCTGTGGAAGTTAGTACATGCTGCTGCTGTTTCTTTGCACTGCACTGGACATCAGCTGTGAACAGCAATTCATGTATTTTTGCTTTGAGTTGAACTGTTGATTATGAGAAAATAGCTCGACTTTATGCCAAAGCCCTGATCTGTTTAAGAAAAGTAGTTGAGTGCATCCTTCTTCAGGGTACATTCAGCCTCAGCCAGATTTCTGGCTTCTTCCCTCCCTCCCTTCCTCCCTCCCAGCAAATCCTCGGGCTCCCAAGACACACAGGTATCATCTCCTGCACTGCAAAGCCCAGCAAGCCTTGCTGGCTCCCTGCTGTTTCGCTGAAAGGCTGGGAGGTTGAAAGCTTCAACTCTTTCCCTGCCTTATCACAATATAGCTTTTATCCTGCTATCAGCAACATAATATTTGGTGTAAGTTTAGCATCAGTCACCTGAATTTCAGAGCAACTTATTATACCTAACCATCTGAAAACAAGAAAAATAAATCTCACTTCTGATGTCATTCTCAAGGGTATAATTTGAGTTCCACTAGCAGGCATCTACCATTGCAATTTTCTAAATGATTTTCAGATGGGTCTGCCTTGATTCTTGGCACAAAATCTGTGTTTGTACCCAAAGAACAGCTTGGTATGCAAACAAACAAGGAGCTGCTCACGTATTTTGCAGTACCATGTTCTGTATGCAAGATGCATCTGTGCCTAGCAATGTGACCCTTTAGAGCAAAATGAAAAACTGTACCAATACAGAAGAGTGTAGGTTTTTTTCTTATTTATGGGACAGTGAAGGGAGAGGAATGTAAGCTACAGAAATTATTTTCCAAGTGGCAGAGCTTGGAAACAATACAACCCCATAAACTACAGCTGGAACAAAAGCCTTCCTGGTAGTGCTCGCAGGTAGCAAATAGCTTTTATGCTGCTCCATTAAGGTTTCCATCCCCAGTGCCTAATCTCTGATCAGGTGCTGGGGAATCGGTGATCTGAAGCTTGTAGACATTGGGTGGTTCATTTCCTCCAATTTCTTTCCCCTCTCAAGAATTTCCCAAGAAAGATGTGCGATTCCTGCTACCTCAACGCAGCTAGATATCAGTGCAGCCCAGGGCTGAGAGCCAGGAGGTCTGGTTCCTATTCCTATGGTTTTTTATAGATTGGCTTTGTATCTTTGGAGAGACAGTTTATTCTCTACACTACAGGGTAAGATTTGATCTGGGAAAAGGGATGCTTTGTATCTCTGGGGAAATCCACGATCTGAAATGCAGGTCTGGCTTGTGACAACAAAAGTTTGCAAAGCCACGGTGCCAAAAGAATCAGGGATGTTAATGGTTATTAGAAAATGAGAATATGGCAAATTATTTTTTTTCCTTGCAGTTATTTGCTGTAAACTGAAGATCAAGTGAATAAGCATACTTGATCCCAAAAGCTAAGGCAGGGTATGAAATTACAACACGTGTGCGATATCCTGTAGTAAAATAGAGGATATGAATTCTGTACGTCACGGCAAAGTATCCACATGGACAGCATCTCTACAGTAGCAGATGCGCTGCATGAAGCAATTGCATGGGAGCTTCTCTGTAGTAGGAGGGAAAAATGACAAGGAGGGAAGAAAGATTCAGTCTTACATTGGCAGTGCTGGATTAAAAAGGGAGAAGTGAGTCGAGGAGCCAAGAGCAAAGGTATGACGTCAAGGCCCAGGGCAATGAGAGCTCTTTACTTTCTCTCTCTGCTTTCCAGTTGGAGTGGGGAGCTGCAGAAATGCAGAGTCCCAATGGGACTCTGCCACCATCACCACTGTCTGGAAAACAGGGAGACAGTGGCCCTTACGTTTAATTCCTGTGGTTTTCACAGACTTTCTCTTGTATCATTAACAACCAGCAGCACCAATCCCTTTACTGCAGAGTGGAAATACTTACATTTCTTTCTCCTATTCCTTTGCTCCCATGCTTTTCTCTGTTTAGAGTGCAAGGTCTTCAGGACAAGGACCTGTTTCTGCTGCACACAGCTACAGAGTCTCTCAGGATGGTCCATCTATCCTACTCAGCTTTCAAGTGCCACTGTAATAATATTCAGTTGAAATAAGCTGTGTCTTGAAGAGCTGTAAACCCATCTGTAAACCCAGGACTTGACAGATCTCTGCCCTCTTTTCTGTACATCTGCAGCTGGCTGCACACATCTTAAGCAATCACTGATATACTGAGTGGATCCTAGAGCCTTCTGGAGATAGGGATAAAGGAGAAAAGATAGAAACTATCATCTTAAAGAAACTAGCCAATTTACAATGCTGTGCTGGGTATCTGCAGCTTTAGCTTGTGAGATGTGTGAGTAGATAGCACACTGACCAGGGCTTGCTAAATGCTTGACGCTTACTTATATGTGCCACACTTGCTGCAGCATAAGTCAGGGGAAGCAGAAAATCCCATTTAAGCTCAAACTTCATTTCTGAAGATCAAAACCAAGAGAACTCAGGAGCCTGCAGGCTTTTGAAAACCCCAGCAGATAATGCCTTGGTCTTTTAGGAACCAAAATACTCTTAGAAATCCTGCACTAAATGGCTCATCTAGATTACACAGGCAATCTGGTCAGGCAGAGCGCTGAGCTTTTGTCATGAGGGTAAAGTGCTGGCCACAGGGTCTTCCCATCACTCTGCAAAAGCCTTTGTGCCCCTGTCCTTCCCTAAGGAAAGAGGCCATAGGCAGTCCTGCAGCTTGGGCATGTTCCTGTTATACACCCTCAATAACTTCGTATGCACTGGCCAATTTTAGTTACAGCTGTCGGGTATAGATGCTTCCGATGTATTTATTTGTGAGAATAGCAGGTCAGGCAAGAGCCAACTCTTCCCAGAGAAGGTGTAAAAGCAGGCTTTAGTGACTCCACTGATCACAGAACTATTTATTTTGGTTGCTTACTTCTCTCCTTGTCTCTGTCATGGAAAATAACTCAGATTTTTAATCCTGTATTGCTCTTCAAAGCACACGTGTTTGTCATACCCTGGTGTTTCAGTGGCCTTTTTTACAACACTGGACCAGGAAAGCAGAGATGCTTCCTTTGCTGAATTCAAAGCCAATGGCAGTTTTGATTTTGCACTTAGAAAAAACTTATTCTACAAACCCAACTCTTATGCTCTGTGGGTTCAGAGTGCATGGGCTACATTCAAACAAACAGAGCTGAGACTTCCCTGGTGCAGTGCCATTAAAATGTCAGTGAATTAATTTGTGCAAACACTTTAAAACACGGGGTAGCTTGACAGTAAAATAAATGCATCATTTTATAAAGCATACTGCTGGATGCAACAAAGCTTTTAGTAAAACTGAGTGCTGTTTAAATGTGCCAGACCTTATCCTTAACCACACTGAGATATTTCATATCAGCCTGGCAGCATAAATATACCTTTCAAGAGTGTAAACTGAAAATCCATCGAGTTTAATGTATCAAGATTGTGTGTAAAGGCAAAAGTTTAAATTAGAAACAACCTTATAATGATTCCAAATATCTACTTCTCCTGTGATATACGCTTTGTCATACAGGTTGGGTACCCTCTGTCATTCTGTGTGTACTTCTGTACACAATTAGCAGATCAGATCAATGCTTTAAATTTGAAAGTTTAATTAGTAAACATTTCCCCAGGCTTTTCCTGAGTAAAGCAGCTCAAGATTGCCTTGTAGTGGGCATGCATGAGCTCCAGTTGTCCAGATAATAGGATTAGGTCTATCTTATTAGCTGTGGTACCTGAACTAATTCAGTGAACACTATTCCATCTTCCCTACATGTTTTCCACCTTCACGTGGAAGTCACTAGACAATAATTAGTTCGGCCTAGCTCTTCCAGCCAGACTTTTCTTTCTGTTGACTGGTGTGGGCAATTAAAATATTGCATATGTTTGAAAATTTTATTCAGGATACTTGTTGCAGAAAAACAGGAAACAATTTGAAAACACAAAGATTCTCTCATGGTATTGCAAAAGCAGAGCTGATTGAAGGATGTCAGAGAGGGGAGCTCGTTAGCTGTAAGTAGACATAGTCAACCACTGAAAGTTTAGTGTTAAGCTCAAAGAGAGGGTGCAAACAAAGCAAATTGACTGGGAATGTTGCTTTTTATTAATCATTCCACTAAGGAAAGTTTTATCTTTGCAGTTAAATGTATTTTAATAGGGGCTGTGCTACTGTAGAATATTGCAAAAGGTTCAAAAATTGATAGAATTGAAAACCACCAGCTCAGAAAATTTATAATGAAGCAGAAGACTTTCACATCTAAACCATCACCTCTCAACTAGCCCATTTCATTAAGGGTTCACAAAGTGCTTCAACCTCCTGGCTATTTTTGACTTCTGAAACTGTGAAAACATGCTGTACCCACAAAGTAGAGCAGATGCAGGGCAGGTGGGACACTCAAAGTCCCAAGATAAGAACAGCTACGCTAAGTAGCTTATTAATTTATTTATTCTGTGGAAAAGGAGATGAGACTTGAGATGTTTCACTGAAAAGGAGATTTGTGGCTTGTCTCAGACAGGCCTACATGAAATGAAAAATGGACCCTAAGTCTGCCTCTTGGGTTGGGAACCACCAGGTCTGTTCTGGTCCCAACAAGTTCTGGTCTGAACTCCTCCCAAAAGCTCTGTGCGTTTGCTTTCCTGAGGCATCACAGAGGGGAAAACATACCTGAATCTGAAGTCTAGGCTGCAATACTGGCTTTCATTCTCAAGAGGGTAATTCTGAGATGCACAGAGAATGGGAGAAAATAAAAAACACTTCCAGAATTCAGAAGTGTGTAGGAGAATTTGGGTGAAGTTCAAGGAGTGCTAAAGGCAATAAGTTTTAGTGTGTTTTGGTAAGGACGTTGTATCTTTGCATGAAGAAAAGACTAGTGCAGTACCTTTAGCCAGAGCTGCCCTGCCCTGGGCAGCAGAGTTCCTGAGAGCTTCTCCCCACACTTCCCATCAAATACTATCCTCTCCCACCACACCAGGCGTGTCACTTTATGGTGACTTCTTACAGACTATGTGGGTAACTAATGCTCCTCGGTGGCCTAAATTGAGTGACATTTTCAAAAGCACTTAAGTTCCTGTAGGGCCCAGGGACTATGATATTCCCACCACCCAAAGCCAGCTACTTTCTCTAGCTGGCTGAGTAGGAGTTGTCTTCATAAGTTTCCATTGTGACATATTTTTCCGAGGAAGCTGGATGTTGCAAAGCCACCTGCAGTGGAGAGTCTGCGAAAGTGAGGCAGTAGGGATATCTCCCTCTCTCCTCATGCAACAAACCAAACTGGATAGACACTGATGTCCCATTTGGAGAGAGGCTTTTAAAATCTTATCTGGGATTATTTATTTCTAGAAGAAACATTAACCATTTTCTATTGCCTGCAGAATATCTCCTCTATCAGCCAGGAACTGAAAGCTCAGGTTTGTCTCTCTGATGGCAGTGGGAAGCTGTTGTTACAAGGACATTTCTTGGTGGCACCAGTGAAGGCAGCTCCTGCTGTCATCCCTTCCTTCAGCCTTGTCCTGTTGTGGCCTCAGCAGAGACCAGGGAAAAATCCCATATTGCAGTGGAATAACTAATGGAGCAGAAGGCAGGATGGAAGAAGTTAGATGAGCTGGAGAGGGATAACTTGGACAGATGCAGCCTGAGAGAAGTCCTCAGGATGGCTTGGCAGCTTTATTCATCTCTCCAGCTCCAGGGCAAAGAAAGATTCAGAGGTCTTTCTTCTGTCATTTAGTGACTTTGCACAGAGTGAACACTCAGTAGAGGCCAGTGAAACAGGAAAGTGGCGTTCCTTGTGCCACAGAACACCTACATGGCTCTCAGGATGTGATTTTTTTCCAAAGATCTCAATATGAGCCTTGAGTCGTTCATAGGAGTTTTATACTGGGCCTTCTCCAGCAGGTGTACAATTAATTACACTGAAGATTTGTAGCCACCTTGTTACTTATAACCATTAAATAAGCAAATTAGATTAATGAAGGAAAGATTAAAGCCTATTCCATTACTGACAAAGAATGGCAACCCATCTTAGTAAAATATGAATCCTTCCCCTCCCTACAATGTGGAATACATTTTTTCTAGAACTTTGAGCCATGAGTTATTCAG